TGGATTGATGTGGCCGAGGCGCCGGTGCCAGAGGTCGGCGCTCACGCTCATCGCCACTGAGCATGTCGCGTGCGGAGTGTGATCGATCTGTACCGCTTCTGGTTTTCCGAACTTCGGCTTGCGCCCTGTTTCTTGGTTGTTCGGGGGTGTCTTGCTTGTCGACGCTGGATCGGCCTTGAATGTGATGGCGAGGGTGCACATGCCTTGGTCTTGAGTCTCAATTGTTTCAGAGGAACGACGACTTCTCCGCCGATGGTGAGGTGCGGGGTCTTGTCTTCCAGGACACATCGGAGGCCCTTCTTGAGAAGGGCCGTTGGTGCGAAAGTGTTCCGGCCTAGTCCTGGCACGATGAGACCTTGTAGCTTGACGGGTAGTTGCTGTTCTTTGTCGTCTTTGATGGTGCAGTGTAGGATCCCAGTGGTAGTGCCTCGTAGTTGGCTTTCTCCTGCAACGTCGATGATCTTGGGCGTCGGGCGTTCTTCTTCGAGACGTCCATTCGGGATGAGGCGGTTGTCGAACATGGTCTCAGAAGCTCCAGAATCCACCAGCGCGGAAGTCCCAGTTGCAGTTGTCGTGAAAGTGCGTCCGCTTCCCTTGCTGCATGTAGCATGGTACATGAATCCACCCTTGAATGCATCTTCGTCGTAAGAGAAGTCGATCTCTGCCTTCTCGGTCTTCTCTGTTTCTTGGGAGTTTCCGTTGTGGTAGGCTTGGCGTGTGTGTCTCTTCACTGGGTTGAGCAGTGCACGCAGTGTGTTCATGCAGAAAAGGCCTTGCCCGTGCGTTCTGGTCGCTTGGCTCCTTGGTTGTAACACTCTTCGTCGGAGTGTGTAGTGGTGTTTTGGACGGAGCACCACTTGGTTGCTCCCGCAGGCTTCGTTTTCTTTGCCCTATGGTCCTCCCGCTGGCGATTAGGACAGTTCCTCCTGACATGTCCCGGTTCGTTGCGCTCGAAGCAGATGGGGCCAGATGTCTTGGTAGCCATCGCGAATCCGCGGCCAGCGATTTGGCCCTTGGTTCTCTTGCGCATTTGCTCGTCAAGGAAGATGTTGGGCATGGTGGTTTGCATCTGTTGCACGTCGAATGATGGGTCGCGGAAAACCATCATGTTGATGTCCTTGTAGGACTCGGAGAAACATTGCACACAGATGTCCTTGAAGCGGCGATCGGAGATGGTTTCCCCCATT